GAAGTCCCAACCTCATGCCACCATGGCAGCTCTTAAGGGATGACTCAAGTCTTTTCAGCTTTACTGAGGAAACAAGGTCCAAACATAAGGAATAGGAGGTGGATAAAGACCTTGCTCCAGAACAAAAACTGAAGATAGACTTCTAAGTCTCGGAAGCAAAAATAAATAGAAGTGCCTTGGATACCTAACCCAGTGTAACAAGAACACTGAAAATCTATATTCAAAATACCCAAGCTTCTAAGCCTTAAAGGGGAAAACAGGACAGAAAAATACTGAGCTTCAAAACTGACTGCCCTCTGCTGGTCAACAAGCAGAACTTCTAAAGCAACAGATCTCTCATCTTTTATCACCTTCATTTTATTCCTTTCCAGTTATTTCCGAATATAAACAACACTGCATTTTAACTTCTGCCCTATTTTTTATTCACTCCTAAGTAAGTATGTTTCAACAGTATTTTACAGAAGAAAGCACTGATGTGACATGGAATCACTGGCTTCAAGTTATAATTCTAGCTCTGTAATTATGAGCACTATGAAGATAATACACTACCTGTCATACGCTCATGACCACCCCTCCATCTTTATCTCCAACAGAACGTTCTCTCATTTTCCAGATGGCACTGTACAATTTCTTAATGACTCCCAACTGAATGTATTACAGGTATCCCAAATTCTACATGTTTCAAACTATTATTCCCTCCTTTCCTTTTCTTTATTTCAAGGAATGCCTAAGCCCGAAAACTGGATGCCATCTTCAACTCTTTCTTCCTCTATAGTCTATCTGCCACTTATCTATTCTACCCCCTTAATAGTTTCTAAGCCATCTACTTCTACATTTTCACTTCCATTATCTTCTGCCTAGAATACTTCAACAACCTTTTAAGAAGCCTCCCTATTTCCAGTGTTAATATTGCTTACACTGCAGCAAGAACGATCTTCCAAAAATAAATAATCTGACAATACTGTTTTCTTGCTTCAAATGCTCCAGTGACTTAAATTTTCCTATAAGAACCAAGTCTAAACATCTAAGCATGACATACATGGTCATCCATGACCCCACCAACATTTCTCTCCCCAGTCTCATCTCTCATTCCTTTCTTCTTGTCTCAAACTATTGATTATAGACAAGATATTTTTCCACTTTGATACAGACAATAAGTTACATATAGCATTCTCTCTTCACTGAACTCCACTGATCCTATCCTTATGTCACGTCACCTAAGTTCTTTAGGATTCAGCTAGGATATCATGTCTCTCCAATGCCTACAAACACAAACTTGCCCCAGATCTATCATAGGTACAACTCCTATGCACTTTAGTAGTACTTTGTATTTCCCTCTACCGTCATATGTCTTCAGTGCAATGTAATTATCTCTTTAATTTATCACTCACTAGAAGAAAAAGATTTTGTATCTACGAATACTTTACAGTATTTGGCATTTAGGTGATATCATTTGTAGGAGAACCGTGTGTTTGGACTCACCCAATAATATCACTTATTTGAATAAACAAACAGTGAAAATAAACCACATTATAGTCTTTGGACCCTCTAATTCAAGATCCTGCCGTCATTCATAGCTTTAAGCCAAATCAATCTGGGGTGAAGGGTGGGGTATGTAAAGTCCTTTGATGGTTTATTCACAACTATTACCCAGCTCTCTAACATCTTACCTCACCTACTCATCCCCACCAAGCTGCCACTAGATGGAATTTGTTCAAAAGACTATTTTCTGCCACTTTCCCTAAACACTAAGAAAGTGCTTCAGCCCACCAAGGAATTCGATGCACAAGAACATCAAAAAACCAAATAAGCAGTGAATTCTGAAAGCCAGTAACTTGATTACTTCCTATGGCCAAGCTGACAACCTCATGTGAGGACTTTCCTATTTATATTATGGCTATTTTCTTTAAACTTTTATTAAGACACTTGCAAAGTCCTCTGAAAACTCATATAAACTATATCCAGAGATCAATTTTACCTATTATTGTCTTAAAATTTCTTCAAAGGACTGCTAGTTAAACATTTTTCTTTGAGAACTAGCTTTGCTTTTTCCTTGGAGAATTGTGAATATAAACAAAAGCTACAACATAAGGGTTGTTGTGCCTCAAAACTAAAGATGAATTTATCAATATCTTTAAATGTATTAACAGAGCTTTGTTTAAAACTATAGTAATTCTAGAATTGGTGAGTTGCACACAGGCTGATAGAAAAATGACTCTAGAAAGAAATATGAATTTATAGAAAAAAGAAAAATCATTAGAAGTTGGAAATTAAAAAAACTATTTTTCTTTTCATAAATTCTTTAAAAGATATATGACCATTAATGACGTACTGTGGAGGTTAGAACATATGCAGCAGTAAAGTAGGTGACAACAATAGCACAAAGGATGGAAAGGTGTTACTAGTTTTTAATGAATTACTTTATTTTATTTTATTTTATTTTTGAGACAGCAAGTCTTGTTGTCCAGGCTGGAATGCAATGGTGCAATCTCGGCTCACCACAACCTCTGCCTCCCGGGTTCAAACAATTCTCCTGCCTCAGTCTCCCGAGTAGCTGGGATTACAGGCATGTATCACCACGCCCAGCTAATTTTGTGATTTTTAGAAGAGATGGGGTTTCTCCATGTTGGTCAGGCTGGTCTTGAACTCCTGACCTCATGTGATCTGCCCGCCTCAGCCTCCCAAAGGGAGATCACAGGTGTGAGTCACCGCGCCCAGGCAAATTACTTGGTTTTAAAAGACTCTTCCACTCTATGTGAAGTGGTATTAATTCAAAACCAAGTGTGGTCAGTTAAGGACGCACATTATACCTTTGAACAGAGTCACAGCAACCACTAAAAAAAAAAAAGGGGCCATAGTGGCTCACGCCTGTAACTATAGCACTTTGGGAGGCCAAGGCAGGTGGGTCACTTGATCCCAGGAGTTCAAGACCAGCCTGGGCAACATAGGCAGGCGGATCACTTGATCCCAGGAGTTCAAGACTAGCCTGGGCAACATGGTAGAACCCCATCTCTACTAAAAATACAAAAATTAGCCAGGCGTGGTGGTGTGTGCCTGTGGTCCCAGTTATTCCAGAGGTTGAGGTGGGAGGATTGCTTGAACCTAGGAGATCAAGGCTGTAATGAGCAATGATTGTGCCACTGCACTCCAGCCTGGGCGACAGAGCAAGACTCTTTCTCAAAAAATAAGTAAGCATACAAATAAAACTATTAAAGGCAACAGATGATATAGTATAGAATACTAAAATACTGGCTGATTAGCTCAAAAGATGGTGGAAAGGAGAAAAAATGGGAAAATGAATATTAAAAATGAATAGCAAGATGATAGACTTAAATCCAGTCAAAACAATATTTACATTAAATATTGAACCAAATACTCCAAATGAATTTTCATTCTGTGTAAAAAAAAAAAAAAAAAATCAAAACTCAATCATACATTATTCATAAACGACCTGGTTTAAATAAAGACACAGATAAGGTGGAAGTAAACCAAAGGAGAAACATAAACCATGTAAATACTAAGGATAAGAAAGTTGACATGGCGGTAACAGTATCAAGCAATGGACTAAAATAAAACTTTTAAAAAACAAAGAAGACTTCAAGACAAGGAATATTACTAGAAATAAAGATCAATTCCCAATGACAAAAGAAGGCAATTCATGAGAAAGACAGTCAGTATTCACCAAGATAAACCATGCAGGGCCAAGTCTTAGTAAATTTAAAAGGACTGAAATCAGACTATATTCTCCGACCACAATGAAAACACCAAACATTTGGAAATTAAACAACACACTTCTAAATAATCTGTAGGTCAAAAAAGATATCAAGAGGGAAATTAAGAAGTATTTTCAAAGTTGATAATAAAAACACAACATATCTAAGTTTGTAGGGGTGAGGCTAAAGTACAAAACTAATGGAATTGTATAGCTTTAAATGTAGAAAAGAAAGGTGTAAGGTCAATTACTCAGGCTTCCACCTTAAGATGCTAGAAAAATAACTCAATATAAACAGAAGAAAGGAAAATAACATAAATAAGAGGAGTGAAAATCAATACAATAGAAAAAATGACAAATCTTTTGAAAAAAATTAAAGCTGTCAGTATTAAGAAAGGATTAGTAGCATTTGTAAATCCTTATTTAGACTGATCCAGAAAAGGGGAAAAAATACAAATTATCAATATCAGAAATGAAAGAAAGGATACAGTCGCTACAGATATTAAAAGGAGAAATGGTTAATCATTTCATGTAAACAATTCCAGGAACTTAGATGAACGTGAACATTATTTGAAAAACACAATTTTTATAAGTTAATACCAAAAGAAAGAAAATCCAATATTGAGTTTTCCCAACCTAGAAAATTCCTGGTCCAGACAGCTTCATTGATAAATTCTATCAAACATTTAAAGAGAAAGTAACTCCATTTCTACACAAACTTTTTCAAACAAAAATGGCAGGAAGAAGATATACTTCCTAGCACATTTTATGAACACACTTCAAAGCAAGCTAACAAGGACATTACAACAAAAGAAAATTACAGATCAATATTATTCATGAACATAGATGCAAAAATCCTCAACAGACTAAATGAATAGCAAACTAAATCTAGTAACGTGTAAAATCAATTGTAAATTATGACCAAGTGGGATTTATTCCAGTATTAAAAGGTTAAAATTGTCCGGGCATGCTGGCTCAGGCCTATAATCTTTGGGAGGCCGAGGTGAGTGGATCACCTGAGGTCAGGAATTCAAGACCAGCCTGGCCAACATGGTGAAACCCCACCTCTACTAAAAACACAAAAATTAGCTGGGTGTGGCGGTGCCGCCTGTAATCCCAGCTAATTGAGAGGCTGAGGCATGAGAATTGCTTGAACTGGGGAGGTGGAGGTTGCAAGGAGCCGAGATCAAAACAGTGCACCCCAGCCTAGGTGACAAGTGAGACTCCATCTCAAAAACATAAAGAAAGTTAAAACTGAAATATCAATGTAAGAGAATAAATTAAAAGAATTAAAGAAAAAATGAAGAGAATTTAATTTAAAACTAAAAGAAAACTCATATGAAAATTAAATAATCAAATAAATTTGGATAAGCCTCAACAATATTCAAAACCCACTATGATAAAAGCTTTCATCAGCTCGGAAGAAAAGAAATTTCCTCTATGAAAAATCTACAGCTAATATCAAATTAAGAGTGAAATACTGAATGTTTTCCCTGTAAGATCAGGAATAAGGCATGGATGTCTGCTCTCACCACTTCTATTAAACATAGTAATGGGGACGTTAGCCAGTGCTCTACGGCAAGAAAAGAAAAGAAAAACCATAAAGATTGGAAAGGAAGAAACACTCTGATTTTTATTTATAGACAGCATGATTTGCTTAGTAAATCCTAAGAAATTTATACCAAAAAAAATCTCAAACAATTAAATGAATTTAGTAGAATGGAGGATACAAGATCTATGTCAAAATCAATTTTACTTTGATATGCTAGCAACAAATAATTGGAAAGTATGTAATTTTAAAATACTATTTTCAATAGCATTAAAAATTATACCTATATATAAATGGATAAAAGATGTCAAAGACTTGTGCATAAAAAACCAAAACATTGCAGATAAAGATGACAGAAGTAAATGAAACCTCAATATTGTTAAGATGTAAATTCTCTGCAAATTGATCTACAGATTCAATGCCATCCTAATAAAGAATACCTTGACATTTATGTAAGAATGACAAGATGATTCTAAAATTCATATGAAGATACAAAGACCTTGAAAAAGGACAAACCTGGAGCACTCACACTATCTGATTTCTGAATTGCTACAGTAATCAAGAGAGATTATAGTATGGCATAAATAGAGAAAAATTAACAGAATAGAGTATGTGTATAGATATGTCCACATATATAGTTAATTGATTTTCAACATAGCTCTAAGGTGATGCAATGGGGAAAGCCTTTTTTAATAAATGGGGTAGAGTAACAGGACACCTGTATGTGAAAAAATAAACTTTCAACCCCCACTTCACACCAGACACAAATATTAAATCAAGATAGATCAAAGACCTATAAAATAAAAGTTAAAGCTATAAAGCTTCTAGGAAAGCACAGGATAAATCTTAGTAACATGGGGTATACAAAGATTTTTTTAGGATACAGCAAGTACTAATCATAAAAGAAAACAATGATAAATTGGACTTCATCAAAATTAAAACCTTCTGCTCCTCCAAAGGCGCCACTATGAAAATAAAAGTATATTGCTAAAGGGAGTGTGAAATGTGAACAGCTCAAAAACAGTTTAGAGTCTCTTAAGAATAAATATATACCTGTCCTATGATCCAACAGTAGTATTCCTAACCCCATACTCCTAAAGTAGGAGTACTTTATCAAGTACTCCTACTTAAGTATTTGATAAATACTTAAGTATTTATCAAAGAGGAATGAAAACATAGGCCACAAAATGACTTTTACAAGGATGAAACTACATGGATAAAGCAGCTTTATCCATACTAGCCAAATATTGAGAAGAGCCATAAACAAATTATGGAGTATCTATACAATAGAAGATGACTCAGCACTAAAAAAGAATGTGCTACTGATATGTAAAATGTGAATAAATCTCAAAAACATTATGAGTGAAATAATTCAGAAACGAATAAATTATCGTATGGTTTCGATTCTACAAAGTTCTGAAACAGGCAAGATTAAGCTATGGTAACAGAAATTAGATCAGTAATTGCAGAGGGGGTTGGAGGTGGTAAAAGGCATGATAGAACTTTCTGGGGGTCATAGAAATGTTTTATATCTTGATGTGGGGTAGTGGTTACAATTAAAACCAATACATTGTATTGTATACAAATTATACCTGGAGCTGAAAAGCAAATGCAAAGTTAATATGAATTTTTAACTTAAAGTTGAGATTTCAAAGTCAACCCTTCCTGAAGACTTCCCCAAAAGGAAAATGGTTACTCTTTCCTATGATCTGGTGTACTTTGGTATAGAAGTATGAGAAGTTTGTCAGGCTGGAATTCTACATCCACAAACATTATGAAGCTACAGAGAAAACAGACAAAGAAAGGTTTACTCCAATACTTATATGAAAAGATGTTTATAAATTAAAAGTTACCTGGAAGATACTGTAAAATCCTAGAGTATGGTAATTCAATATTATAAATATTACTGAAATGTATCAGTGTTTCTCAATGGAGATGTTATTAGAATTCTGGGTAGCTAAATAATGTGGATTTGTCCCTTCACACTATGCAATGTTTAGTATTGCTGGCCTCAAGCCACCAAATGCCAGTAGCACACAACTCACCCCACCCTTCACTGAATCACTGTGTCAAAACACAACAGTTGAGAACAGTCTATAAGCTAATGGTCAAAAGCACATGTAAGCAGCATAAAAAAAAATCTAATTACCAGGCTTAATCTACCTTACGATTTTATTTCCAAAGCTAATAATTTCACTAACAATTACCTTTACTTACTTAACCTCCAAGGACGAATGTATATGCTTTTATTTGCTATATGTAGTACTAATTTGGAAGGATGAAGAATAACTGATTTGGATGACATCCCTAATTGGGGAAGCCAGATACAACCATTGAAAGCACTGTCAACAGCAACAAACTATAACACACCAGAAATAGCATTAGCATACTACTAAGAGGAGTAATAACTCCGGAAGATGGCCTGTCATGAACAGGCCCTGTGAATGGCCCATTTACGTACAATACTGGGTTACAACAAAGCAACAAAACACTAGGGTATTCCCATGGTATTCTTTGTGCCAGAAGAGTAGTAGCAAACAACTAAATCTCCTTGAATAACATATTCAAAGCTAAAGCAAGCAGATAATTAATCTACTTTATGGTTTTAATATCCAAACTTGCCTTTCATGTTGCAATCAAAACATAACATAACCATTTAATGACAAGATTTGCTAGGCTTCTAGCATCTACTCATACATGCAAAGTTAAGAAGGGACACTGAGGGGAAGAACAAAGAATAAAAAAGGATACAAGACCACATACACGTCTAGTGCTAAGAAGGAAAAGATGAATTAAACTGGCACATGATCCTAGAAGAAGTAAGAGATTGAATTAATAATCAATAAAGTTTTCCCAAAGAAAAGCACAGGACCCAGATGGCTTCACTATTGAAATCTATCAAACATTTAAAGAAGAATTAACACCAATACTTCATAAACTCTTCAAAAAATAGGAGAAGAGGGAACACTTTCTAATTCATTCTCCAAAATCGTATTACCCTGATACCAAGATGAGATAAAGACATCATGAAAACCCCACTACAGACTAATATTCCTTATGAATATGGATGCAAAAATCCTCAATGAAATACCAGCAAACAGAAACTAACAGTGTATAAAAAGTACTATACACCAATAACTAAGTGGGATTTATCCCAGGAATACAAGGTGGGTTCAATACATAAAAACCAATCAATAAAATATACCTTCTTTAGATAGAGTAAAGGAGAAAAAAAAAAAACAAAAAAACACACAATCATCTCACAAGAGGCAGAAAAAGCATCTGACAAAACCTAACATTCTTTCATGATAAAAAGATTAAACAAACCAGAAATATAGAAAGGAAACCTCCATAACCTTAAAAAAGAAGCATCTATGAGAAACCCACAGCTAACATCATACTCCATGGTGAAAGACTGAACTCTTTTCCCCTAAATTCTGAAATAAAAAAGGATATCTGCCCCACCATTTCTATACAACTTATGCTGGAGGTTCTAGCCAGGACAATTAGGCAAGAAAATGAAATGAGAAGGCATCTGGAAATGAAAGAAATACAACTATCACTATTTGCAGATGACATGATCTTGTATATAGAAAATCCCAAGAAACTCACAAAAAACTATTAGAAATAATAAACGAGTACAGCAAGGCTGCAGGATAAAAAAAAATCAATGTACAAAACTACATAGTAGTTCTATACACTGACAATGCACAATCCAAAAATAAAATTAAAAAGCCAATGCTATGTACAACAGCATCAAAAAGAATAAAATACTTAGGAAAAACTTAGCTAGTGGTACAAGGCTTGTACATTGAAAACTATAAACATTGTTTAAAGAAACAGGAATTATCAATGAAAAGACCAATATTGCTGAGTTGGCAATACTATCCAAATTTGTCTATATATATTCAATGCAATTTCTGTCAAAATACCAGCTACCTTGTTTTGGTTTAAATTAACAAGCTGATCCTAAAATACACATGAAAATGTAAAGAACCCATAATAGTCAAAATGATCTTGAAAACAGCCATGTTGGAAGACTCGCACTTCCCAATTTAAAAACTTACTACAAAGCCATAGTAATCAAGAAGACAGTGTGGTGCTGGCATAAAGACAGATATATAGATTGATGAAATAGAATTGAGAGCCTAGAAATAATTCTATCTCTATTATCAACTGAGTTTTGACAAGGCTGTTGGTATCATGCAACAGGGAAAGAATGTTTTCAAAAATTGATGCTGGACAACTGGATAGCTACATGCAAAAGAATGAATTTGGGCCCCTACCTCACACAATATACAAAAATTAACTCAAAATGGATCAAAGATGTAAATGTAAGAGCTAAAACTATAAAACTCCTAGATGAAAACATAGGTATAAATCATTGTGACACTGGGTTAAGTAATGGTTTTTTGGATATGACAACTAACACAAGCAACTGAAGAAAAAATAGATAAATTGAACTTATTTCTAGAAAGTCGATGTACAAATGCTCTACAAGCACACGAAAAGTTGCTCAACATCATTAGTCTTCAGGAAAATGCAAAGCAAAACCACAATGAGATACTACTCTACACACATAAGAATGGCTGTAATAAAATTTTTAAAAAGACAATAACAAATGTTGGCAAGGACGTGGGGAAAGTGGAACCCTTGTACATTGTGGATGGAAAAGTTAAATCATGAAGCTGCTATGGAAAGTAGTTTGGCAGTTCCCCAAAACATCAAACATAGTCACCATATGACCCAGACATTCTACTCTTAGGGAAATACTCAAGAGAAATGAAAATATATTACCATCTAAGAAGTTGTATATGAATGTACATAGCAGCATTACTCATAATAGCCAAAAGTATAAACAATCAAATGTCCATCAACTGATGAATGGATAAACAAAATGCATATTCCTACAATGGAATGTTATTCAATCAAAAACAAGAATGAAGTACTGATAAATGCTACAGCATAGGCAGGCCATGAAAACATTATGATAAGTGAAAGAAGCCAGACACAAAAGGCCACATGTTATATGATTCTTTTTACATGAATGCCTAGAATAGGTGAATCCTTACAGACAAAAAAGTAGATTAGTGGTTGTCAGGAACTGAGAGGGTGACTGCTAATGGCTAAGGAAACAAGCTATTTCTTTGTAGGGTAATGAAAATGTTCTGGGATTAAATAGTGGGGACAACTACACAGTCTTCTGAATATACTAAAAAGAGCTGGATTGTGCTCTTTACCAAAGTGAATTTATTGCACATAAATTATATCTCAATGAAAAAAAAAAAGTTGGCATACCATTGATAAGCCAAAACAAGTTCAAATAAACACTTCAAAATCAACCTATGTTCACTCTCCTACTCAATATTCCATGGAATTCTTGAGAAAAATGCATACATAAATATGAGCTAAATAGGGTAAACTAAATACCATTATAAGGTATACCTAAGGCAGATTCATTGTTTTTCATGTAAACTTGTTATTGTGGGTAACATTAATTGAAAATCTGAACATCCAACTGGGACAAATTTCACAGAAAAATTAACTGTCATTTAAACTATGGAAAGTTAATAGAGTTACCAACCACTTTTCCCATAAACATTGGTTTGTTATTAAGTAGCACTGATCTATCACTTTGGAAAATGCTCTAAGATCTGACTGATACTTATTATAGGTAATCTTATGTAACAGGCAATTCGTGCTTCTCATAGTCACTGAAGCGTATACCAAACAGCTGCATAAGAGGCAGAAAGAAACAGGTACCACATTATGGAATAATAACAATATAACTGGTCATGCGAGAATACTACAACTTAAGGAGAGTAATAGTAATCTAAATTACAGAAGAAGCAGACAGAGAGAGTGTTTCAAAAACTGCTTCCTGGGAGCCTGAAAACACATAGAAATTGTCTGAAAGCCGGACAGCCTTTAAAAAAAAAACTTTCGGCTGGGCGCGGTGGCTCAAGCCTGTAATCCCAGCACTTTGGGAGGCCGAGGCGGGTGGATCACAAGGTCAAGAGATCGAGACCATTCTGGTCAACATGGTGAAACCCCGTCTCTACTAAAAATACAAAAAATTAGCTGGGCATGGTGGCACGTGCCTGTAGTCCCAGCTGCTTGGGAGGCTGAGGCAGGAGAATTGCCTGAACCCGGGAGGCGGAGGTTGCGGTGAGCTGAGATCGCGCCATTGCACTCCAGCCTGGGTAACAAGAGTGAAACTCTGTCTCAAAAAAAAAAAATTAATAAAAATAAAAAAACTTTCTCAGCATAAGTTCATGATTAGGCTAACTATAATTAAAGTGATTTAAAGAAAAAAAATACCATGTAAAGCCTCAAATGTTATATATAAAACATCAACACACAATTTGCCCTGGGAAGAACAGTGACTAGAATACTTAATGAGACACTAAAAATACCTGAGGAAAAAATATGGGAATCTTAAAGGTTCAGAGATAGCTCTGTAAGCTTAATACTTTGCTAATAATAGACTGCTAATTTTCAGTTTAACCACAAGTATCTATCATGGCCACCATGCTAATAAGGTACATTATGGGCTCCTTGTATATCCCTCATCATGTTTTGTGTTAAGGCAGAAAAGGCCATAGCAGCATAGATCCAGCACTGTTACGATAAAGAAAGCTAACTTTTTGGACTGCTAAATTCCAAGCAAGCTGAGACCTAGCCATTGTACTTGGTACCACTGCGTGAACAGAGGGAGGAATGAATGAATGAATAATACAAAAGCCATCTCAACAAGTATATTACAACTCGTAAATAAAGGATGGAAAGAAGATTAACAATTCAATTCAAAAGACTGAGAGATGACAAAAGCCGTCAAGGATTACTTTTTAAAATCACAATATCCAGTATTGATGAGATACTAATAAACACTTTCATAAAACACTGGTAGGAATGTAAACTGGTTAGCTTTGAGAGGAAAGCAACTGGCAATAAATTTTCTTTAGATAACCTTTAATTTCTTTTTATATTTTCTACAATATACATATATTCATTTTGATGAATACAAACATTTTAAATTTAGAAATTCACATTAAAAAGGAAGGCAGGAGTTAAAAGAAATCACCAGTGTGAGGAGTCAAAAGGTAAGAGTGACAATAACAGGAAAGTGACCTGGGAAGAGCAGACAGTGAAAAGCCCACTGAAAATAAAACAGTAAGACAAAGTCGGAGGATAGATTCCACACACTAAATGTAAGAGAAGAGGGTAAGCTTTGGAGCTCCTTATTAGGGCAATAAGGCAGAGCAAGGGTCATGAAAAGGGGGACAATCCCCATTTCAGATTAAATGAGGTGCATGTTGCCTTTAAAATCCAAACGTGTTCTCTTTGTGAAGGGAGAGGGGCTGACACAAATTGTCTTACCAGAGATTTGGCCATAAGTAATTGTTAACCTAGTTAAACAGTTCATGTTCAGCTGTAACTCTGCATCTGGTGCTAGGTCTGGCCCAGGGTTCAGAGAGGCCAAAAGAGAAGAGAAGCTAAGGAGCCCTGCTGCTGGGCAATGCCTATGCCAGCCCATGCCAGCAATGCCTGTGAGCAGCAAATAGCATCTGCTGTCCTCACCCTGATCTTCTGAGCATAAGAATATGGCTGCAGTTTCACATTTACCTTTCAAAGTCAAAATGCTTCATGGCCCATGCTAACAATGCAAAAGAAAAAAGAAATCTGGCAAACAGTTCCAGCTTAGCTAGTTTGACACAATACAAGTCCAGCACACCATCTTTGTCTTAAAAACAAAGTAACTTTTTTGGAGCAGTCCTGAGTTTTAACTTCTAACTCTTCTATCATTGCTTATTTCTTTCATTACACCTTACATTTCCAAAGCAGTATTTCGTTTTCCCCAACTGCTTTTCTTTCAAATAGCCTTCTAGTCTAGTGTAATGGTTGTAATATATTCCATTTCCTTTCTTTTCCCTTTTTTCAGTTTCCTTCTGCTTCATGCCTTGTTTTTCTTCCATATTCTCCCTTTTATCTTTGACATAAAGGCTTTTCTTTAAATATCTGGTGATCCTTGCCAATCTGTTATTTAAAAGCAATGCATCTGACTATCAGTATTTCAGGCTTCCTCTCTCTTCTCTTAAGCTAGTTATTTTTCTCAGAAAGAATGCCTCTAGTCACTAGTTTGAATCAACTTTCAAATTCTACTAAATACCCTTACTGCCATTTTTCTCCTTTCTTTTTTTTTCTTGTTAATATATGTTTTCAGTCTCTCTCATTTCTGTGGGACTTGCAAAGAAAGGATAAGCCGATAATATGCAATTTAACATATTTCACATTAAGACAGCCAACAAAGAGAAAACTTTTAAATCTTTGGAAAATTTTAAAGACACAATTAAAATTCAGATTTATATTTAGGCCATTCATGAACAGTGAGACAGATTTGTTCATGAAGTGAGAACAAAACAGAATATAAAGAAAAAAAAACTTATAAAGAGCCACTTTGTCTAAAGTAACAGCATGCTCTAAATTCTACTGAATCTATATCATATTTACAAAAAGTGTTAGATGACAATAAATCTGTTTAAACATCTAATAAGTCAGCTATAACAAATAAATAAGAAACACTTGAGAAAACTGTGGTCCCTTGTAGCCTGGTGGAAGAATATGGAGGTAAAGAGTGACTGCTACCTGTGCCCCTTAAGGAAATGCAAGTTAAAGCTGGGCCTTTCATGTGAATAGACTTTTAGTTAAATTACGTATGCACCTTTTCAGAGTGAAGAATCACCTGTAACAGCAACCAGAAACAATTATCTTTGAGAAATACTGTATGTCCCCTAAAAGATTTTAAGCCTTTGAGTTTTCCAAAATAATTTCAGGCTTAATATTTCAATTATAATCTAACCCCATCCTCAAATGATAAAAACTAGCAAATATGGTAAAGAAAATGACACCTACTTAAGATCATTTAAATATCCATAAGAATTCAACCTGGTTCTCTATTTGAAAATGTACACATTTCTAAGTTATGAAAAAATTATTCCTAAATGATTTTAATACTTAAACGTTTTAAAATCTAAGTATTTCTCATATAGGGGATTTTAAAGGTTGCTCAACACTTCATCATGTTTCCATGTAAAAACAGAACTTCAACCTTTGAAAAGGGCACACAGGATTGGTAGAGATGCAATAAATAAAAATTGCAGTGACAAACATTTTTAAATGATTGATCCTATCTGTTGGTAGCAAGAAAATGGGGAAATAGGCACTCATTAGCAGTGGAAACTTTTAGAATGCTTTTGGTAAGCATTATGAGTATCTATTAAATTTTGTGCATATCCTAAAACCTAGAAGTTCCACTTCTATAAATCAATCCTGTAAAATAAATGATGACATGAAGATACAGGATGCATTATTTATAACAGACATTTAAGAATATTTCCATTTGTTTACAAGTAGATATGTACCAGTATGGGAAAATGTCTACGATGGTTAATTTTATGTGCAAACTTGACTGGGTTACCCAGATAGCTGGTAAAACATTGTTTTTGTGTGTTTTGGGAAGAGATTAGTATTTGAATCAGTAGACTGAATAAAGAAGAACCACCTTTACCAATGTAAGGATGCATGATCCAATCAGTTGCGGGCATGGATAGAACAAAAAGGTAAAGAAAGGGCAAATTCACTCTCTCTTCTAGAGCTCGTACACGCATCTTCTGCCTTCAGACATCAGAGTTCCAGGTTCTCATTCCAACATTTACACCAGTGGCCCACTTCCAATTAATTCCCCACCCCTATTCTCAGGTCTTCAGCCTTGGACTGAGAGTTACACCACACCACTGGCTCACCTGTTTCTCAGGACTTCACATTCAGACTGAATTGTATCACCAACTTTCCTGGTTCTCCAGGTTGCAGACAGCATAGTGTGAGACTTCCCAGCTTCCATAATCATGTGAGTCAATTCCCATCTTTAATAGCCCTGTACATACATGTATATATGTATGTCCTACTGGTATGCACTTCTGGAGAATCCTATTAATGTCCAAGACACATTGTCCGACAAGTTATAGAGTACTGCTTTTAAGATGATCCCATTATAGCAGTTAAAAGCACACAATTTCTTTGGACATGTATCTGGGTTCTTCTACTTACTAATTATAGAACTTTGAGTAAGCAACGAATCCTCTCTATACCACAATTTTTCTATTTGAGGAAAACAATAGTATGATCTTACAGAGGAACTGGGAGGACTAATGAAGATAATACATGCTAATTGCTTGATAAAGGTAAACTATAATTATTACATATATATTTTAAAAGCACATATATATAATTATTGTATTAGGTTGAACTATCTGAAACTGCCAATACTTAACAATTGTTCACCTAAAAATATTACAAGTTCATATGGTTTAACCTAACATATGCAAGGAAATTTTCAGAAAGAACATACAAGGAAAAGCTATTTTAAATATTCTTCTTTTCTTACATGGGAAAAATACTCTTATATACCATTTGGACATTTTAAATGTGAACATAGTTAAACATCCCCTCCTCTCAAATAAAAAGGTATCTACACGGCTTGCTTTAAGCAGTATTATCTTAAAGCATGGCAGACACAGGAGAGCCTATGGATTAATAAAAGGGAAGGGAATAAAATTAACCCTTCCCTTCCCCCTAAGTCAATAATCATTTGTTGACTGAGCAATCTACCTCCTTTTATTACTCTACTAGGGAGTTTCCACTTCATTTTAGAGAAACTTAAAGAATGCTGGCATGCTTACTTTGGCAGCACATATACTAAAACTGGAAGGATACAGAGAAGATTAGCATGGCCCCTGTGCAAGATAACATGCAAATTCATGAAGCATTCCATATTTTTATATATATTTCATAAAATGCTGTCATTGGAAAACATGTTAGAGATTATACACGGAGGTAAATTCAAGCTGGTTAAATGCTGTCAGGAAGTTATTTCTCAAATGTAATCTAAATATTACAATTCAAGGAGATCTGGTTTTAATAATTCTATAACTCTCCCTTTATAAAATGAGTGTAAATAAAGAAGTCAAGAAATAAAAATAAAATAACAGGCCAGGCATGGTGGCTCACACCTGTAATCCCAGTACCTTGGGAGGCTGAGGCAGTGGGTCACCTGAGTTCAGGAATTCGAGACCAGCCTGGGTAACATGGTGAAACTCAGTCTCTACTGAAGATAAAAAAAAATTAGTCAGGTGACATGGCATGTGCCTGTGGTCCCAGCTACTCAAGAGGCTGAGGTGGGAGGATAGCTTGAGTCTGGGAAGTAGAGGTTGCAGTGAGCTGAGATCGCACCACTGCCCTCCAGCCTGGGTGACAGTGTAAGACCCCATCTCAAAACAAAAAACAAAACCAAAAACATTCTATCAGCTGCAGTCAAAGAAATGTGTACAGCACTGAGTTTGAGAAGACCACAAGTCTGTTGCTTTTGAAGCTCTATCTTACTACATAGTGAAATGATTCATAGAAAGTTCAATTAGAGAACACTGGTTCAGAGTGTACAGAAACAGACCCAAATATGAGAATTTGTATTTTTGATATACAATTGTGTGTACTAAAGGTAGCATTTCAAATCAGCAGGGAAAGAATTACTGAGTAAACAGTGTCGGGACAATTAGCCTAAGGGAGAATGAGAGAGGACTAAGGGACTAAAGCTAAATCCACACATCAACTTACCCAAGTTCACTATGAATCAAAGATTTATACTTAAAAAATGAAATGATAAAAGTAGTAACACATAATTCTAATTAAGAAACGGCTTTCTAAATAGACTACAAACCCAAAAGACAAAAATAAAATGGAAAGACTGAGGCTTTTTTTTAAAGGAAAAATAAAAACTTATAGATGAATAAAGCCCAAACTGAAAGAAAACAGTGCCAGGGAAAACGGGTTGTTCTATTTCCTTCATGGACTGGAAAATATTAACTCCATGGGGAAAAGAAAAAGTGATAATGCCTATTCATACATGAAAAGTCACTCAACTTACTCATAACTTAAACACTCTATTAAAAATTGCTTTTTCAGCCAGCCATAATATGCCAAGACAGTTCCCAGTATTAATGGGAGTGTGCTGAGACAGGCACACTAATGAATATAAAAACTGATATAACTTAGAGGATAATTTTTAAATAGTTAATAAAAATCATGAGCAACAAATAATATTTATGTATTAAATAATACTGAGTGTGGGAATGACTTTAGGAATGACTTTAAAATAATCTGAGAGATGAAAATTTTAAGAAAGTTGATGCAAATATAAATGAAACAAGATTAAGCATATTTTGACGGTCCTGTCTGGGCGACGTGGCTCACACCTGCAATCCTAGCACTTTGGGAAGCCAAGGTGGGTGAATTGCTTGAGCTCAGGAGTTCCAGACCAACCTAAGCAACAAGGGAAAACCCTCTCTCTACAAAGAAAAAAAAAAAAATTAGCCAGGCATGGCGGTGTGTGCCTGTAGCTCAGCTACTTGAGTGGATGAGAGGTGGCAGGATTGCCTGAGCCCAGGAAGTCAAGGCTGCAGTGAACCAAGATTGTGCCATTCCAGCCTGGATAACAGAGCAAGACCTGTCTCTATATAAAAAGATAAATAAGTAAACAAAATTAAATTGATGGTCGCAATAGCAGGATGGTGCTATATATAACAGTATAAGCACAGATAAGAAATACCCGAAGAATAAGTTGAACAGTAAGTTAGAGAGAGATTGATCCAGCTATAGTCAACCATTTCAGATATAAAGAAAATTACTTTAAAATAAAGTAAGTTTTTGTACATTATATAGGACACAGTTCTACTACGCTATTCAATTTACGAAGCCCTTTCTTAATGTTCACAACCTTTGGAGAGTTCATTATACTGTTCTCTCTACTTTTGTATATGTTTGAATTTTTTCCCATAGAGTTTTTCCTAATGTTCATACCCTTTAAATCAGGAATTCCATGTCTTCGAATTTTGCCTGTACTTACATTGTACAAGCACACAACAATGTAAGTACAAAAATGTTCTCTGAGGCAATAAAAGAAAAAACCTGGAAACAATCTAAATATCTACTGGAGGATTGGTTGAATAAATTATGATTTACTTAAATACAGTGATGCCATACACCCTTGAAGAGTATGGAAGCAAATTATATGAGGTAGATTGTGGAAAGGGGGAAAACATCAAGGGCATAATAATAGGTATAGTTTAGTCACATTTAACTAAAAACAAAACCACACATGTAGATTTGTGAACGCATGTCAGATATGTGCCCATATTCATAACAAATCCCTGGAAGGATATGTGAAAAACTTAACAGTAGTTACATCTGGTTGGGCAGGAGAGGGGGTATTTCATATATTACATTTAAAATGAAAAAGAACTAAAATTGTAAAATCTTTCATCTATTCAGGTGAGTGGCATTCATTTAGAAACTACCAATGTTCAGGATCAACATTGGTGGGAAGCTTGCTTCAAAAAGATTTAAATTATATACAGAAGAATAAGATGAGCTATGGCTCTTTTATTAGTGACCTCATCTCAGAGCTTTTTTTCTTGAGATGAAGTCTTACTCTGTCGCCCAGAGTGCAATGGTACAATCTTGGCTCACTGACCCTCTGCCTCTCAGGCTCAAGTGATTCTCCTGCCTCAGCCTCCCGAGTAGCTGGAACTATAGGCATCTGCCGTTATGACCAGCTAATTTTTATATTTTTAGTACAGACGATGTTTCATCATGCTGGTCAGGCTGGTCTTGAACTCCTGACCTCAAGTTCTGCCCGCCTTGGCCTCACAAAGTGCTAGGATTACAGATGTGAGCTACCATGCCCTGCCAGAGCTCTTAGCATACCTCTGGCTCAGCCCTGATGATTGTTCCTAAAGCTAAAAGGCTAATATTATCTTAAATAATTACTCCAAAGATGTAGGACTCTTTCTTAATCCAAATAATTAAGGATATTTATTGAGTTAACATGTGCCTATTCTAAGGGGAATTCAAAAGACTAATATTACAGTCCTTGTTCAAAAAGTTTATAATCTAACGAAAGAGAAAATGTTCATATAAGGAACAATTAAAGCCATGCAAAACACATGTACTCTGAAAAAGAGAAGCTAGTATGGGAATGAATAGTCAGAGTTCATAGAAGAAATAAGAAGGCAGGTTCAGTCTTAGAAGATTAGCCAGATTTAGACAGAAAAACAGGGCTGCATAAAAACACTAGAAAGAATGTACAGAAATAAAAAAATGAAATACTGGAAGACTCAGTATGACTGGAGATGGGGGAAAGAAAAAGTATGAAATAAGTAGCAAGTAGTATGAAATAAGTAGTAAGTTCAAGGTGATATACATCTTTAAAACCTGGCAAAAATTAAGATTTTATAAAATTGGCAAAGACAAATTTTAAGAAGTGTCTGGCAGCAACAACATGCACAACAGAGTAAACTATTTTTAAGTCTTTGCTTCTTTTTGGCTTGCTTTCTTGACATTAAAAATAAGATAATGAACATTATTTCAATACCTCACTTCCAGATTCTAGTGGTCTCTTCTTCCTTGGTCCAATAGCTGCAAGAGCTGTGAGATTAGCATCTCTATGCTGTATCTGTGCAAGTTCCAATTGCTGTAACTAGAAGACGGAAGGAAAAAAAATCAATGTTTACACACATTCATGCTCAGAGGGAAAAAGAAACTGATTGCTAAGCCTATTTCTGTATTCACCAAATAAAGTTACAATATAAAATAAACATTAGATTCCCATAACAGCCAAAGGCACATTCTCTGATTCTTTTACTCCAACAAACTCTTTAGTTCTTCATTTCTATATGGAAGAGGCAGAACTCAGGTAAAGGAGAAGTACAGAAAAGAAGAAAAAAGGCTTAATTTCTCCCCAGTATAAACACAGACAAGAAATGCCTGAAGAATAATTTGAACAGTAAGTTGGAAAGAGATTGGTCAAACTACAACCATTTCAGATTACTTTAAAACAAAGAGTTTTTGTACATTATAGCACATAGTTCTACTGTGCTATATAATTTACAAAGCACTTTCTTAACTCTCACAACCATATTGAAAGGTAATTGCTATAATGTAAGAATTACACATAATCTTCTTTTTTTAATGGAGACAGTAAGCTCTAAGAGGTTAGGACAACTTTATAAAAGGCACCATACAAGTAGTAAGTGGTAGAAACAGCATGTGGAGTAAAGTGCTCTCATTAAAATCCTCTTCAGTACATACACTTTCTCATTTGCAAATAAAAGTCTTAGATTTACTCTATAATCTTAGTAACAAAATTCTAAAGTGATTTAGTACTATTTTGTTGTACAGCTTTCATCATATTTAATCAAGAATGCCCAAATCTACAGGGCATATGTTTTCATATGTGGACAAAACTATACAGGGGTATGCATGAAAAATGTCCTATTAGAAGGCAGAAACTGCATTATTTCATTAAGGCAACTAAGTGTCAAATTAGGTATTCTGTTAAAAAAACAACCACCACCACCACCACCAAGGTGAGAAAGTCAAAACAGAACACCACTATATAAATCTCTAAGCTTTTTCAGAAGAGAGGAATAATGTTCAATTCCCATCAAAATATTATTATTAATATTAATACTACGAAAGGAAAAAAGGAAAGAACCTGGAGGTGGTTGACAGTCACATATTCAAACAAGATGGAGATAACTGACTGAAAAGTAACCAATTGAGAAACCCTATACATGTAAATATTCTTTCAAAAGAGCACTAACCAAAAAAATTTTTAACACGTTTAACAGTAGAGCAGGATGAAAACAAAAAGTAGTTTGTGGTGTAATAGTCTTAAGGAGATACCAAGTACATAAATTGCACTTTAAGATAACTTCAGATTATTTTAATATTAGGGGAAAGACAATGAATAACTGAATAGGTAACTGAATCTTTAGTAAGGCAGAAAATAATTGCTATGTTCTGAATGTCTCTATCCCTCCAAACTTCTAATATTGAAATCCTAACATCCAGGGTGACTGGTATTAGGAGATGGGGCCTCTGGGAGGCAATTAAGTCATGAGAGTGAAGACTCAGTGCTCTTATAAAAGAGACTTAAAGCCGGGAGCAGTGGCTCATGCCTGTAATCCCAGAACTCTGGGAGGCCAAGGTGGGCGATTGCCTGAGGTTAGGAGTTCGAGACCAGCCTGACCAACATAGCGAAATCCCGTCTCTACTAAAAATACAAAATCAGCCAAGTGTGGTGGCACATGCCTGTAATCCCAGATACTTGGGAGGCCGAGACAGGAGAATCAGTTGAACCCAGGAGGCAGAGGTTGTGGTGAGCCAAGATCACGCCATTGCACTCCAGCCCGGGCAGTGAGAGTGAAACTCCATCTTAAAAAATAAATAAATAAATAAATAAATAAATAAATAAATAAATAAAGAGACTTAAGAGAAACCCCTCGCCCCTTCCACCAGGTGATAACATAGTGAGGAAGCAGGCTCTAACCAGACACTGAATCTGCTGGCACCTTGATCTTGGACTTCCTAGCCTCTGTAACTATGAAAAATAAAATTCTGTTGTTTATAAGCTATCCAGTCTATTTTGTTATAGCAGCCCAAATGAACTAAGACAAAAATTAATCAAAGAATATGAACTGAGAACCCTTTTCCACTTGCTCCACAAATGATAGGAAGAAATCCTTTTAAATTGTATGTTTACTTATAAATAAATTGTTAGAAAAGTGTTTTCAGAAGTTATAAAATACCTTTTGTTGCTGCTGGCCTTTTTAATAAAATATAGTTTTAGGGTCTAATGCTGCCACAATTCAGAACTTAGGTGACAAAATAATTATTTTAGTTAATCTACCCTGCAGTACAAATCAAACAACAAACTATATTTTAAAGTCCTTTCCCTGTAGAGAAATGGCATCTGCAAGATAGTCACACCAAATAAAAGGTTTTTAAACTCATCACTGTCTTCAAATTCCCCTAGTGTAGTATAACATTTTCTCCTATTCTGCAAATTATACTTTGGTTTTCTGAAGTCTCTCACACAAAATACTAGAAAAATTTTGCTAAAATCTAACAAAAATGTAAACTGACTGTAGTTTTCATTGGCCCTGTATTTATAACAAGCTTTCTCAAAACCAATGTATCTTGGCAAGCACAAAAGAGAAAAACCAGGCACTTTTAACCACAAAAGGAGGAAGTTTTGAACATTATTGCAAATCTGGCACATATCAAGGATAAAGACTACAATAAATAACCTCAGTTCAATAAAAATAGCCACTGAGTTAGAGGCTTGCCTGTGGAAACAGAATTGCAAATTATATGATTATCTATGCAGAAAACCCCAAGTTATCTATATATTTAAAAATCCTACTAAGACTGGTAAGTGAGTTTAGCAATATTACAAGATGAAAGTTTGACACATGCAATAAGTGACTTCTAAATACCACTAAGGTACAATTGGAAACTTGAAATTTATTTTATTTTATTTTATTTGGAGACAGTCTTTCGCCTGGAGTGCAGTGGCACGATCCCAGCTCACTGCAACCTCTGCTTCCCAGTTCAAGTGATTCCCCTGCCTCAGCCTCCCGAGTAGCTGGGACTACAGGCGCACACCACAACGCCAGGCTAATTTTTTGTATTTTAGTAGAGACGAGGTTACACCACATTGGCCAGTATGGTCTCGATCTCCTGACCTTGTGATCCGCCCAACTCGCCCTCCCAAAGTGCTGGGATTACAGGCATGATACACCACACCCAGCCAACTTAAAATTTTTAAATGTCATTTATAATTACTCTCTCTCAAAGGAAATACTGAGATATAAATATAACACATACAGGTATTTCTACACTATAAATTACAAAATGTCTATGAAAGAAATAAAAAATAAATACATAAATGAAGAGACATGCTGTGTCCAGGCTTGTACGACTCAACAAAGATTTCAATTCTTTCCAAATTCATCTAAAGACTTAAAACAATTCTAATAAAATTTTGTCGTGGATATGGATAAGTTGATTCTAAAGTTTATATGGAAAGAAAAACTAGAATAGCTAAAACTATTTTTATTAAGAAGGACAAAATTGGAAGAATCATACCATGCAATATTAAGACTTCCTGTAAGGTGACAGTAATCAAAATACTATAATACTGGCAAAGAGATAGACACATAGGCTAATGCAGCAAAACAGAAAATCCAGAAGTAAGAAGCACGTAAATATGGTCAATTGAGTTTTGGCCAGGTTGGAAAGGAATGCAGTCGAGAAATAACAAAAATTCTCTCCTTGACCAAACTTCTGAGCCCTCTTCTCAACTAGGCCTGAACCTTGACCTAAAAAGACTTGCAACGAAACATTAACACAGTTTTTAACAGTTCAAGGCCACCACCCTAGGATGACACTAACCTCCTTAAAGAGCCTAACTAACTGAAAAAATTCAAGACTGCCAGAAGAATTTACTATTTGTTCCATCTAACATCTAATGATAAGGCCCCATCTTCCAGCCTCTATGGAAAGAAAGGAGCTGATTAAAGCATATGCTTACCACTTTAGTGTCTGGCATAGTCTTTTACACAAATGTTGTGGGGCTGGGCACTGCGGCTCACGCTCATAATCCCACTATCTTGAGAGTCCAAGGTGGGCAGATCACTTGAGGTCAGGAGTTTGAGACCAGCCCGGCCAACATGGTGAAAAAACCCCAACCCTACTAAAATTACAATAAGTAGCCGGGCATGGTGGTAGATGCCTGTAATCCCAGCTACTTGGGAGGCTGAGGCAGAAGAATTGCTTGAACCCAGGAGGCAGAGGCTGCAGTCAGCCGAGATTGTGCCACTGTACTCCGGCTTGGGCGACAGAGTGAAACTCTATCTCAAACAAATAAACAAACAAACATCAAATGTTGTTGGAACAATTGTACATCCATGTGCAAAAAGTTTTTTTAAAAAAATCAGTCTGGATCCAAACCATCTTATACAAAATCTTATACAAAACATCTTATACAAAAATTAACTCAAAATATAAATGTAAAACTATAAAAATGTTTTACAAAAAACATAGGAGAACATAACTTGGGGGCCAGCAAAGATTTCTTGAACATGACACTGAATTAATGTATATCTATAAAAGAAAAAACTGTCAAATTGGGCTGCATCAAAATTTAAAACTTTCGCTCTGTCGAAGACACACTTAAAAGAATGGACAAGCTATTTTATTTCCAGGTCTCCAATCTATTTGTCTTTCTTGCCTGTACTGATAAGGAGCTAAACTATAACACTGAATAATAGTGGTAAAAGCAAATATCTTTGCCTTTTTCCTAATCATTGGAAGAAAGCACTCAGTCACCACTAACAATGATATTAGGAGGGTTGTAAAAGCTATCTTTCATCAGCCTGAGGATGTCTCTTCCTTTTTAAAATTTCTTACTTTAATAGAGATGGCAATCTCACTATGTTGCCCAGGCTGGTCTTGAACTCCTGGTCTCAAGCTTTCCACCAGCCTTGGTCTCCCAAAGTGCTGGGATTACAGGCATGAGCTATCACACTCGGCCAACGAAGTATCTTCTATTCTTAGATTCCTGAGAGTTTTTAATCATTAATGGATTTTAAATTTTATTAAACATATTTCTAAATTAATTGATAGGATCAC